TCATCAGACTGAATGTCAAAGTAAGTATCACATGCCACTTACAAGAGACATGCTGAAGTCCAGGACAGTGACGGTCACTCGACTTATGACAAACAGGGGAAAGGAAGGGGTTTTTAATAATAAATGATACTGCGTCAACTGATACTCACATAAAAGGTAAGTCTTGATGCCTATGTTTTACCATGTATAAAAAATTATGTCCAGGTGCACGACAGGGCTAAATGTGAAAGAAAAAGCAAAGGTTCTAAAACGAAGAATAGCAGAATACGGTCACAAACATGCAAGAGGCACACGGTTTAAACAGGACACTGAAGAGCCACCCACAACAGAAAGGACTGGTGGACTGTACTACATTGTGGGACTTCTCTTCATCACCAGGCACCATGGGAGAGAAAGGCCAATCACAGCCTGGAGAGGAAGACACCTGCCACACGTCTACCCGGTGATGCACTCAGGTACAAACACAGAGAACTCCTCCGTCTCAACAAGGAAAACACGATCTAGGAGGCAAACGGGAGAAGTACTTCACAAAAGAGGCTGCTCAAGCAGCCAGCAAACGCGAAAATGTGTTCAAGTTCACTAGGCTTCAGGGAAACGCAAAATTAAAAGCATAATTAAATAATACTGTAGACCTCAAAGAATGGCTAACATTAAAGTGACTGGCCGAAACTACCTGCTGGCAAGGACGTAGGGTACCTGTAATTTCCAAACTGTGCTGGGAGGCATGCGCTGGGACAAACGCTTTGTGACAATATTTGACGCCAGATCCTGAGGTTGAACTTACGCAAACCCAGTTACCCAGAAATCCCGCTCCTGGTTATATGCCCACGGAAACGCAGCCACATTTCCACCCCGTCACACACTAGAAGGTTCCTCGTAGCACCACTGGTAAGAGGGCAAAACTGAAAACAACCAACATTAAAATAAATACATTGTGATACCATCATAAAATTGAACAACATGCAGCAATCAGTATAAGCAAACCATGATCTGAATGGATCTTACGAACAATGCTGGCAAAAGCAGCCAGTCATGAAAGAGCACACACTGTGTGATTTCATTTATAAAACAGAAACAAAGGACCTGATGGCAGTGCACATCAGGAGAATGAGCACCCCGGCAGGAGGTGGCAACTGGATGGGATGAGCTGGGGGTCCAGTCACCCTCTTCTCTGGACCCAAGAGTAAATGGGTATGATCCGTCATGTACGTGGCTACAAGGTTTACCTAAAAAAAAAGAACCTAGCAGCTGTGTACGCACTGACTTAGGAAGATAACCATGGTATATCAGCAAGCGCTAATCAAGGTGACCTGCAGGTCACCAAATACAAGATGATCCCTATGTGTAAGATACTAGCAATAGAAGATTATACATACACATGATACTAGTAATATAAGAGAATAGATACTAGCAAAGAAAATAAAAAGATGAATTGTTACATCCAAAGTCAGTCCATGAAGGATTTATTAACCATGTTTATCTCGTATTTTTTGCTCTATGAAATTTTCTGATTTTTATAAAAGTGAACACTGGTTATAATTAGCACTAAGAATCCCCCCAGTTTTGCAGCTGACCAAGCCACAAGACCGAAGCTGCCCCCTGGGGAGGCACAGCAGGCGCCCTGTGTCTGCGGCACAAGCGGCTGGGTTTTGGCTGCTCTGGCTCTTGCGTCTCTAAGGACAGAAGGCAGGTGGCGTGGATGAGGAGGTCCCGTGTACGCAACGACACGTGCTTCCCCCAGCCTCGCTCCACGTGTGTCCAAAGGAGCAGAGTTAGTGCAGTTCTCAGCGGAACAGTCACGGAGCAAAGGTAAAAACCTGCCAGGCCACTACGCAGATGCCAACTCAGCCCCCGAGAAGGGATACGTGGATTGATCTTTGTTCGTGCATTATTCACTCAGCAAAAGGTGCAAAGGAAAACTCCCATCCGTGTGTCCTAGGAGTCACACCCAGCGAGCTTCCCTGCAAACCTTTCCATTAGTAAGACACACTCCAGCTTACGTCTCTTAATTTTACTACCAAGCGTCCCTCAAGATAATCATGTTTTCCTCAACCAATTTATATTATTTAATTCAAAGTTTCTGTTATTTAACCCAACTGTTATATATTCTTACAGGAAAGGAAAAAACGCTGATTCTCTAAGAAGGGTATTGAAAAATAATGGGTAGCCTTTGAAAATCTCTTATTTATCTGCCAAGCATATCAATTGTGAATAAAATGATTTAGAAAATACAGATGTTTCCAAGTAAACACTGCAAACACGCCCAAGATACAAGCAGAAGCTGCACGTGTACATCTGCACTGGGCACACAATCTCCAAAAACCAAAGGTACACTGTTTTCCCTCATGGGAGAAATGGAGAACAAACTTCAATACATTTACCTTAAGAAAAGAAAAAGAAAACATTTCTAATGACTTTAAAAAGGTGTTTATTCAAATCTGTGGTCAGACATCCCATACCCCTCCCCCCCAAATAAAGGTAAGGATTTAGAAATTATGCTCAGATTTGTAGGCTCACAAAAAAATAAAAAGGAAATATGAAATAATTATTTAATATCACCATAGCGACATATTTATTCTCATTATTTTGTCTCACCCAGGTTAGAAGCAGAGAAAATGAGCTTAACTGCAGTAACAAGGATTACTCACTACAAGGAAGAACGGCTTTGGGTGACAAAGGGCTAACAGAGAGCAGGTGCTAAATGAATCCTGGGCTAGAGCGGGTCCGCGCAGGCCTTCCCTCTGCCAGAGCGCAGGGGCCCTGCGGCTGCGTGCTGGGGGCCAGGCGGGGGCTCCCCGTCGCTCACGCTCTGGGCCTGTTAACACAGACCTTCAACAGGAGGAAATCGAATGTCCAAATCAGAGAGCACTGTAAATGCACCAATGAATCAATGCATACGGTTGCAAACTTCTTATCAACTACGCAGAAAAGAACAAGTGCTTACTGAACAAGCTGGATTTCATCCTCCGCAGCAGGCAACTGCGTTTTGCTAGTGATATTTTCTGTTTTTATAAGGGTGATCTTCATGACTACTTTCCCTATGTGAACTACAAAACTGACTAATAGGAACATATACATAATTACTTTGTGGAGATATTTTCAAAAGTGTCAAAATATGAATTAAGACACTGACACTTTTTTAGGGTTCCTCATACTGTTGCAAACATGTTGTTTACAGAATGAAGGCTTGGCAAAACGGATTAGAACATTTGTATGGAGCGGCTTCCAAAAGATCAGTTATTTATTTTATTTTATTTAAAGTGATGCTCCTATCTGGTTATAGACACAGAATTTCTTCTGGCTAGGGAGACACGTATAGGGGCACAACCAAAACAGAGAAACTTCCCTCCATTTTCTGAGGAAACGATTCTTCATCCCTTTGTGGGTGAGATGAAACCAAGCGTTCTTTCAGCTACGAGCAGAGCACGGGCCCTGCCAGAAATGAGCCCACGGAAATCACAGCCCTTCTGAACCCTTGTATACTGCTGGGGGGAATGCCAACTGGTGCAGCCACTGTGCAGAACAGTGTGGAGGTTTCTCAAAAACCTAAAAACAGAACTACCATATGACCAGCAATTCCACTCCTGGGTATATATTTGAAAAAAACAAAACCACTAATTTGAAAAGACACGCACACCCCAATGTCCACAGCACCATTATTTACAATGGTCAAGATATGGGAACAACCTAAATGTCCATCAACAGATGACTGGATAAAGATGTGGTGTACACACACAATGGAACACTATTCGGCCACAAAAAAGAATGAAATTTTGCCATTTGTAGCCACATGGATGAACTTGGAGGACATTATGCTTAGTAAAATAAGTCAGACCGAGAAAGACAAATACTGTACGATATCACTTATATGTGGAACCTAAAAAAATACAACTAGTAAGTATAACAAAAAAAAAAAAGCAGACTCAGATACAGAGAACAACTGAGTGGTCACCAGTGGGGAGAGGGAAGGGGGAGGGGGAGGTCGGGTTGGGGATAAGGGTGTACAAACTATTAGATATAAAATAAGCTACAAGGATATACTGTGTAATACAAGGAATATAGCCAACATTTTATAATAACTATTAATGGAGCATAACCATTAAAAACTGTCAATCACTACACTGTACACCTGTAACATATCATATTGTACAGCAACTATAGTTGAATTTAAAAAAAGTCACAGCTCTTTTGTTCAATGACTACAAAGCACACTCCTTTTTTCTTAAGAAAAGTCCAACAGGTGACTGTACTGGAGATGAAGTGCAGTGCTACCCAGTGGGGCTAAGTCGCTGCACTTCTAGGCAAACGAAGAGAAAACTCACTAATTTCCCCCCCTTTAGAAGATACACAGATCTCCTACCACGTTCTGGAAGATACAAACAAATTACCAACATTTTCATCCGACCAAATAAAAACTATTGCATCAAGTTAACACACCCAAGGGGAAATTTATTCCTTAGCTCACTACAACGTAAGGTCAAAATTACAGAAGAAATTCTATCTATACTGGGTCTTAACTGCAAAGAAACATAATTAAATGAAAACATGCAACTCTTTTTCCTATACTCTAATAATCCCTCAGCTTCTAATGGTTCAGCTTTGTTCCATAAACTTTCTGCCTGTCTTGCTAATGAAATCACATTTTCCAGTCCTCAACTTCTAAAAATGCAAGGAGACACTGCAGATGCCCTCCATGCCCTGTGCAGATGGCAGAGAGAGTCCACCCCTGACACGTGTGTTTCTATAGGCGTAGATTTGCCCTGCCATCAGTGAGGACCACAGAGATAGATTATACAGCCTGCTCCTTCCACTTTAAACATAAGAAAATTAAGGTCAGAGCAGTGAAGTCGAGTTGAGACTAGAACCCAAGTCTCTGAGCCGCTGGCAAGTGCTTTCCCCCATTCCTTCTTGGAAGGGACAACATCCACTAAGCAGACAAGTAAGACGACCTTCACAGCGGAAAGCAGAGCCTGTGCGTCTGCCGGTGTTTTTGCTCTTACCTCTGAGCGGATTATCCAAGGCAGTATCTTCTTCTCTGATTTTCCCACACTTTGCCTGCTGTACAAGTCTGGGCAGAGAGCAGAAATAAAATCTAGATTCATTATCCTGGGAGGTGGGAATTAATCACGACAGCAGCACAAATTTAAATAGAAATCACAGGGTAAACAATAGTGAATTAGCAGGTATTTTGCTGCACAGTCTCATTAGAATATTTCTTCAGTTCCAGCTTCAAAAACACACTTCTGTTCAGAAACTCTAACTCTGAAACCTGAAACTTCAAAGCCCGCAAGCCCTCGTTCCATTACAGCGAAGAGTTTCTAAGACTCTGGACTCCTCAGGTTCTGAGGAGCTGTTAAAGGCTGGCGGTGACGGTGCGGGAGGTGAGTAAGCAAGAATTACTGCTGGTGAGTTTTTGTCCTTATTTCAATCAGAAGATTATACACATTGTGCTCAAACAACTGTACAGAGTAATTTAGTTACACTGTTGAATGTCAGGGAATTAATTAACTTTTAAAATGCTCCAGTATGCAGTAAGGACTAATTCTGTAATTCTTTCATCAAGGAACTTTATTAAAATCTGAGGCTCATAGTTCATGATGAACATGGAAGGTTCTAAACTGAAACTTTTCCAGTGTTGCTGATGATCTAGGAACTCATTTCAGGTGGACAGAACCTCAGATGGCTGATTAATTCATCTGTAACAGTTAAGATTTTAATGAAAATTATGACACCTTGTTTGGCAAATCTATTTTTCTGATTGCACTTGGACAACAGCTCTGTCACTTTATCTTGACTGACAAGCCTTTTAAGTTTGCACTGTTTCGATTTCTGTTTTAGATGCAGAAACTGATTCAGTTCCTAAAATCTTACATAGAAACCCAAGGGACTGGTATGCAATGTGAGGTAATTTTCATCTATGTTCCATAAACATGTATGTGATGGTAAAAACACATTCTATTAATCAGCCACTTTTTAACCATTAAGACTTTTCTTTTTCAAAAGAATTCCAAGAAACTAAGAAAGGATTTCTATGGAAATCCCATCCTCGGACCTTACGAGAAGGTCCCCCATAGTTCCTGTGAACCATACCACCCCCAGGCAGTTAACCTCTGTGGAGCCACGCAGAGCCCAGAACACTCAGCGTGGGAGCCCGGGTCCATGTCTCAGCACCGTGCCCTGGGTTTGAGACCCAGAGCGCCCAGTTAAACTCTACAGGATGCAGTTTCCCAACCTGCAAAATGGGGACAGTACTTGCCTTACACGGTTTGTTCGGAACAATCAGTGAAACAATATGTTATAAACTAGTCCGCAAACTCTTATGCATCACGGACATGCATAAAAATGTGTGGAATATTTTTATGAAATCAATGTTTAATCTTCATTATTTATGTATATATACATATATTCAAATACATAAAATCAGGATTTATTCACATTCTTGTGAGAAACAATAATAAACGGTAGAAAGAGGTTTAACCCTACACATAGAGTGGAGAGAGCTGGTCAGAGGCACGGCATGTACACAGTCTAGTCACTTTGCAAAGAATAAGATGGGGAAAAAAAAAGCACACTTTTAGCTCTGCCTACATATTTTTGCAAAGCAGTTGGGTATTTTCCCAAAACTTTATAAATTTTATGAAATTGGGTTGATTCTCAAACCATCTTAAAGCATCCTTCTGCAAGACACGCTGATAAAGATCGTGATTCTATCTCACAAAATAAGAGAAGCTAGTAGGCCTTATATAACTTGATGAAGATTTTTAAAAAGCAATTTAAAAATAAATCAAATAAATCTACTGAGTGGCTTTTTAAAAAAAATTCCAGGCACTGCAATTAATCACAGATATATTTAGATAGAGTTCTTGCTTTCAAAAGTATTACCTCACTAGGGAGATTCGGCGAGTCAAGCTCTGTAAACAGCTCATTTCCTGAGTGAGGGAGGTCCTGCCTGAGGACTCCCAGACTCTTCATCTCATTCCACCTCACCTCCTTCCCACATACACGCTACAAGGCAGGCATAGGACGCTTGTTGTGAATCAGGAAACTGAGGCTCAGAGATATTAAACCACACGCCCACCTTGGGGGCGCAGTGAGTTGATGGCGGAGCCAGGATACAAACTCAACAGACTCCAAATCCAGCTTCCTTCTACTCCACAGGTCCTCTCGCAGGGACGGAGGGTCCCTGAACACTTACGGAGGCCTGGAGAAGGAGAGGCCGCAGGCAGAGCCGGAGAAAGGGGGAGACAGGGATGCTGCCAGTGGCTGGAGGCAGGACACGGCTCTGCGCTGGGTGTGGGGGTGGACGCAGCCGGGTCTGTCCCGAAAGAACAGGGGTGCAGATGGCCGAGGGGGCTGGAACGGGTGAGAGAAAAGCAGGTACAGGCACGGAAGGAGCAGAAACCAAATGAGAGGGACAGGGTTTGGGGGACGTGACTAAGCTGGTCAGCTTATTTGGCTGAGGCACCTGCACTGTGAGGGGAAAGGAAGGACCAAGGGAGAGGTCACAGGACTCAGCCGGAGCCGAGCCAGGGGAGCCTGCGCGCTGTTCTCGGGCACTTGGGGTTTACCTTGAAGGCAGCGGAAAAGGCCGCTGTGGGGCTGCACCCGGGGAGAACCCACCACATAATCAGCCATGTTCAGAGGTGGTCAGGCCAGCCATGTACTGAAGATTAACATCTGTCTGCATTTCAGCTAAAAAGGCGACACCACTGAAATCCCAGATACTATGACTTCACCAGCAATTCTTCTTGAAGCCTGGCCGGCACCTTTACCACACAGTCATCATAGCTCTAGCGTGAAAACGACCTTCAAAATCCTTTGCTAACGGTGTGGCTGTTACCACAGCAAGTGTCAGGCTACCTGTCTGTCTGTCTACCCTTGATTCATTCTACAGGGGAGTGCAAGTCTTAGCCCATTCAGTTGGCGAGACCCGCCGCTGACGTCCGTGATCTTTGCTACCCACCGTCTTTCCAAGTGACTTGCCTTTTCCTTAGGATTCTGCTGCTTCCTGTTGAAAAAAGGGGGCTGCATGTTCTGACCCTCCTCCTGTGCTTCCTCTGCTCTTAATGAGGCAGATCAGTGGCAACTGTTTCTGAGCTTGGTAAACACCAGGCCTGTACCAGGTGCCTAACACAAAGGAGGTGGTATTAATCTTATACAGATGTGCTGAAGAAGACAGAGAGGTTAAGTAGCTCGCCCAAAGTCACACAGCAAGTAGAAGAGCCAGAATTTGAATTTAACTCAGGTTAGTCTTCATGTAAAGAAACACCTTCTAGACCATGAGCTGGCAAACCACAGGCCACGAGGCAAATCCCGCCACGGCCTATTTTCATAATTGAAGCTTTGCTGGAACACAGCCACGCTCATCGGTTTACTTGCTGTGTATGACGGCTTGCATGCTGTAGCAGAGATTTTACAACTGGAAGAGCCTAAATAAAATACTCACTATCTGGCGCTTTACAGAAATGGTTTGGGTTTGCTGACCCCTGTTCTAGGAAGAAAGATTCCTGAGACCAAAAATATGCACGCCCAGTGATGGTTTCACACAGCTATCTTTTCCCAAAACTGCCCTAACAGCTGTCCTGGGTTATGACTTATAATGGGGTGTGGACAGCAAATACTGGGCTGTGACTGCTTTTTATTTTTAGACAAACTGTCCAAGTCCAGTCAACATTTCTTTGAGCATTTCCTGCACGCAGGCTGCGTTCAGCCAACGTGGTGTCAGCCACCAAGAGACAGGATAACCTAACAGGGGATATGGATGTGTCCACTGCCAACCTGCACACAGAGTGGGTGGAGCAAAGGGCTGGAACTGAGAGATGAAAAGAGGAAGAAACCGCAATGGGGTCACAAAGGAGGGAGTTTCTGCTCTGAAGGTCGGAGAGGTTAGAGAAATCTTTCAGAGGGAGATGAGCTTGAACAAGGCCTCAAAGCAAGCTCTGACTGAGGAAAGCAGAGGCAGGGACTCGCAAAGGCACAAATGCGGGGAGGGTGGGGGTGCTGAGCAGGCTGCAGGCAGGTCACGCAGACCCAGAAGCTCTCTGCATCCGTACGTCCCTATGCATCCTTGTGTGCAGGGATGCAGGGACGTGATTTACTCAGAGCAAAGCAAGTGGGTCAAATACCCACAAGACTCTATCAAGCCAAAGAAGGATTCATATAATACATTTAGTTTGTAAATCAAAAGTAATTAAACTTTGAAACATACTGCATTATACAGTGTCAATGAATGATACAGGTACATATGAAAATGTTTAGTGCAGCCTTATTTATAAGAGGAAAAATACTGGAATCAACGTGAATGCCCGTCAACAGGAGAATGAGATACGTTAAGGTTCATCGACACCATGGAATATGACACAGTTATGAAAAGTAATGCACAGAATCCACTTGGGACGATTGTGCAAATTATTCATGACAGGTTGTCAAATAAATCAAATGTATTTTTAAAGCTTGTATCTTTTTATTGTCAGACTTCCTTGGGGCCAACAGATAACACTGCCGCACGGCTGTCTGTAAGGAATCAGGTCAATTTGTTTTTCCTTGTGGGCAGACTTAGTTGCGTAGGTCTTTGTAACTTCTCCGTATAACAGTGAAAGGCCAAGACCAGATTATTTTTCTTCTGGTCATAAATGCTGATTTATTTACAAGCGCTTTGTTCAGACCTCAATTATAAACTTGGGATAAAAACGTGTGTATGTTACTAAAGCCTCAGTATTTAACACCCAGGGGCTTTAGCGGTTTGCCCCGTGTTAATCTTTCAGGAAGGAGCATCCGTCCTCAGTACCCCACATGGCCATGGCGTCATCTGTCTGGAGTGACACAAGTTAACCCTCAGGGAAACAGTAACAAAAAAGTTAACGTATTTTTTTAAAAAAAGAGTGAATGTGTCTCTGCACACCTGTAGGTATCCGTAAACACCAACAAAGTGCGGAAGAGAAACATGACAATCTAGTCACACCCGTAACCTCGGGACGCAGCATCAGAGCTGAGGGAGGACTCAGGAGTCAGAAATTGTTATTCTTAAAAACGTCTATATTACCTAAATTATTGCAGTGGGTATTTTAT